TTAATGTCAGTTTTCCTTTTGTGCCACCAGGTGGAAGAGCTTGACAAGATGGTGACAGAGATGGCTGGCTTTAAGAAGTGAGTATCAAACTCCTGTCTCCAATATTGACTGACATGTTTTTATAACATGGTCCAAGCAGGAACAGTTTGAAACACAGGCTATAACTGATTTGTTCCATTCTTATCCAGAGCCTACCTGGTGACTGAGCACGCTCGCTGGTTTGGGAGTTTCTGTGCACAAGGTGAGGAAATGTCTCTATGTAGTGGTGGTTAAAGAAACCTGGGTCTTGAGCTTCAAAAAGCTGATCTAACAGAGTGTACACTTTATGCTGTTATCTGCTGTAGATCTGCGCAGACATCCGCCTGCTGGCCAACCTAAAAGAGATCGAGGAACCTTTTGAGAAGGAGCAGATTGGTACGTTCGCTCATTCAAAAGCACTTTTTACCTGTTAAACTGTGCCTCAGCCTAAAGCTTTGCCCGCTCCTCTTCCAGGTTCCAGTGCTATGCCCTACAAGAGGAACCCCATGCGTGCAGAACGCTGCTGTAGCTTGGCCCGACATCTGATTGCGTTGATGGCCGACCCCCTGCAGACTGCCTCAGTCCAGTGGCTGGAGAGGACACTGGATGACAGTGCCAACAGGTCAGCCAACACAGACACTTACACGGCTGTGAATTTGGTATGTCAATGTTCTCCTCTGTGAAGTAGATATCACAACAATGTAGAATCGTATGTCACCCTTTTTAACTGAGTAGTCCAAAATCAGTGAAATCCACAGTAATCTGTCATACAAAGTCAAGGACAAAAACAATATTTGAGAATCTACTCTTGTTGGGTTCAGTTAGGATTGTAAGGAGACTGGCAGTGGTAACTCAACTTAAAGAAGGAATATCCCTCCACTCAGAATGAGACACTGACAACAACTTAAAGGGAGAAAAGTGATTTGAGTGTATTCAACATTTAAATGCTCCAAACATAGACATGAACAAAACATTTAGACCATTTCAAACATGTAAATCTCAACAATGTACAATATATCACTTAAAGTGTCCATAAATGTATCAGGTAGGCTGTCCATTTCAGTTCAGTGCACTTAGTATTCAGTGTTCTTAGTAAGTGTTAATTGTCTTTAGTCACAGTTTTGCTTTTTTGATGCATCAGTTTTTTGTGTTAAGTGGACTCAGATTTGACCCAAAAAAGAAAAAAGTAACAACATAAAGTGTCCTGAGATCTCAGAAAAAACGTTAATCCAAAAAAAATTGCAATCGTTGTATCCTACCACCCTCCAAGGAAACAGGTGGCCTTCAGATTGAGAACGTCCTTTCTAGGCACCTCCAGTGGCATCCAGTCCTTAGATGGCACCGCTCGGTCCTTGCAGCAGATTTCTACCACGTAAAAAAAACCCCAGCCTGCACACAACGTGCAGTGCAATCACTCACTTGTAAAATAAAACGTGTTTCTCTAGTGTTATCCCTTTTTTCCCCTCACACAATCACACATCTATACAGTTCTTATTGGCCAATAACAATTTATCAACAACAAAAATACATTCCACTGCAAATCATGAAGCATGAAAAGTGTCTCTGTGGTGTGTTAGCTAAAACTTCACATGTAAGCGCATTAGCCCAGGGAGCACATGTGGGTACGCTAGCATACTTTCCACAGGCTAACACAGCTAAGCAATCGTTAGCAGGTTCTAAGACAAATATCACATTTCCGACAAGCATTGTATCCTGACTGGTTTTATGTTCAAAAACTAGACTATGAATCACAATTTAAACTGCAACTGTGAGAATCACCAGGATATTCTTCACAGAAAACATTAATTCTGTAGCGCAACACGTTACAAGACTGAATATCCACACAGCTTTGCGCATCTAGCTCCGTGCAGGCGGATGCAGTGAAAGAAAGTCACCACGCACGCGCTATGGTGCATTCACGGTACATGGGAAAACTCAGCATTTAACAAAACAGTAACACTTCAAATTAGAATAAAAACAGAATACAATTGGCAATAAAATAACCATGGGTTACACGTGGAATGAGTCTTGAGTTGAATATTTTTAATAGGCAAAAAATACTTATAGAATAAGTTAATAAGTAAATGTTAAAATTTTGTCTTTGTTTCTTTTTTTGCTGAAAATTGATCCGATCCGTGACTTAAAACTGTGAACCATGAGATTTTTGATCCGTTGCACCACTAGTAGCTACACATATTTGATTTGGCAGTTCTTACACTGGATGGCCTTCCTGGCACCCACTTAAGGGGATTTGCATCTCCTACTGGGATCTTTCTCCTGTTAGACAAACGTGTAAACAGCTACACAACATTGCCACTGCTCTCTCTAAATGTGAGTTGATGATGTCAATCAAACAATCACTAAGTGGTCTGATTAAATATTAAGTTGTAGAATGCAATTAACAATTGAATAAAGGTAATCACTAAATGTTCACAAATGAATCCATTTATCACTAACAAAGTGCTTCCATTTGAAAAAAATAAACAAATAATTTTTTTAAAATCAATGAGCTTTATTACTGATATGCATATTGCAACATCGTCGGGTTTAAGTGAGCCAGCAGCAGGCAGTAGCATAAGTGACGTTTCATATATTAAAATCATGCATAAAATAGACACACACCTACCTCCTGCTACAATAAATATAAAACACATCACCAAGGACAGATGCTCAGAGGCAAACACAAACTGCTGCTTCTTGATCTCAAGGAGCGTGTGAGGAATGTGTTGCCTGCAAGCAGAATTAAGTCATTATTTTAAAGACATAAATCATCTCTTCATTCAGATGAGTAACAGTTTCTGTAACTTAGATGAGTTGCAGTTTTTCACACTAAAATCATAGATAAAGCCTGGAGGAAAGAACTTGTAGCATCAAAAATTAACATTGTTGTCAGGTTCAGTGATCCTAACTGCTTTTGGTGAACTGTTCGTAACTAAAGTTGTCATCCTGATTCACTCTTTTGAGAGAGGAAAGATTCAGTTTTAAAGATTTTTTAAGAGTTACACATACAAAACTTGAAACTGTTTATGCTGTTTTATCTCTGTCTATTACAGAAGCCTTGTGTTGAAAACTGTGTGACTGTCACTGTTGTAACTTGTAGAAATGTTCTTGGTGTGTATGTAAAAAAAATAATGAAGCATTTGGTTGAACAGCGCCTGACTTTGGCTACGTTCACACTGCAGGTCTTAATGCTCAATTCCAATTTTTTGATCAAATCCAATTTTTTTGTCTGCTTGTTCACACTACAAATAACATGTGACAGCAAACACGCTCTAGTGTGAACGGTTCACAGCCCTCAAAGCAACCTGGATGCGCAAAAGAAGACATCACACACAACACGCTCTGTTTACGGAAGTAAAAATGGCGGCTACAGAGCGAGTAGGTGCTGTTGCAGAAGTTTGTCAATTTCTGCACAGTCGTAACCCTCAGAATCTTGACAAATTAATCACAGAAAGGAGGACACTGAGAAAAAAAGAGAGCCTGTGCTTTAACAATGGCCTTGTTTGGAGCAGTGGCTGCTACCTCCGTGCAGAGGTATATGCGGACACGGAGTCAGAACCAGGAGTGGTGGGATTTGGATGTGAGAGGCTTCACTGACACAGAGTTCATCCACAATTTCAGGATGTCAAGACAAACATTTGAATATCTCTGTCAGCGCCTATCAGCAAGAATGCTTAGACAGGATACTCATCTCCGCCAATCCATACCTGTGAGCAAGCGCGTTGGAATCAGGCTGTATTGGCTGGCAACAGGCGCATGTTATCGGACCATGTCAAACCTGTTCGAAGTTGCCAAATCCACAGTTTGTTCCATCCTCCATGAATTCTGCTTTGCAGTCCGCTATGTCCTCATGCCTGAGTACATTAAATGGCCTCGAGGAGATGACCTGATACAAGTTATTGAAGGATCCGGACAGCGATGGGGGTTCCCACAGTGTGCCGGAGCAGTAGATGGGAGTCACATTCCCATCACTGCTCCTGAGGACAATCACTGTGATTATTTTAACCGCAAAGACTGGCACTCTGTCATCCTACAGGGCGTCGTCGACCATAAATTCTGGTAAGCATACTATGATCTACTAATATAAACGTAATATAAAGACTTGTTTTGGACTTTACGTTTTGCAATTTTGCCTTAAGTTATGAAGTTATTTTCCTGTTTATGGCCTGATAATTATCCTTATTGCTGTTTTAGAGAGGAGCAGTGCTTCAAAGGATACTTGCAGATTTCTGTGAGAATCTGCAGATTTACAGTAGAAATAAAATGTTCACGTTTCTCAAACGTTGTCTTCCCAACAGTTTCACTAACATCTACACTGAATGGCCAGGAAGCGTTCACGATGCCAGGGTTCTCAAGAATTCTGAGATACACACAATGGCAGAGAGAGGGGAGCTATTTCCACCAGTCAGTATCTTTGAACACAGTGAATTGTAATTAAAATTGTTTTATCATTCCTCTTTGTTGATGTGTGTCACCTTGTATTCACATAATCTTAGGTTACAGAAGAAATCATGGGTGTTGAAGTTCCAGTCTAACTGAAGAACAACAATACTTCAACGAGCGACAAAGCAGAGCCAGGATGACAGTGGGGTGTGCAGTTGGCCAACCTTGGGAAACGTGCATGCTGCACACTCCACAATGTGTGTGAAAAAACATGGTGAAGCCTACAATGAAACTGATAAAGCTGATCTGCGTAATTCTAGAGGTACCGAAGGAGGCATCTTACCAGATGTTCAGCCAATAAGAATCAGAGAGGTGCTGACAAAATTTTTTCATAGTCAACGTTAAGGCACAAAAGCCATGGTTTCATCTCATTGTCAATAAATTTGAGCTTGAAGTTTAAGTGATGCATTCACAAAATTTAAAGTAAAGCATTCAAAGTAATTTTTTATGGAAAATATTTATTTTGACATGTGTAACATGTACACTTCTTCCTTTGTGTACTGAAATTGCAATGTTGTTTGTCTCAAAACATTGCAAAACTTTGCATATGAAAAGCACAAATTAAATCTGAAAGACCCACTGTCCTTCAGCAGTACTGAAAATCTCTAACAACAAATATAAAGCATTTTTGGATTGTCATGAATGAATGACATGACATGACATGAATAGCATAAGCATAACGTGGAGCATGTCCAGCATAAATAAAATAAAATAAAATTACCTGTGGTAGTTTCTGTGTAATAAGCAGGAAACAGAACTGCATAATGCAAAACTGTTTCTATTTAATAACATATTAACAACCTATTAAAACCGGTAATTATTACCTTGGAACCACTGTGCTATGTAATAAGCAGGAAACAGAGCTGCAAAACACAAAACTGTCTGTTTCTATTTATTATAATATTAATAATCATGTTAATAACCTTTTTTTTCTCTGTGTAATAAGCAGGTATTTAATACCATGGTCACGGTCAAGCATTAGGAAGTCTGCAATGAACTGGTAGCACTCATGCAAAATGCTAATAAATAAGTTTGAAAGATTTACAGTAATAATGGTCAGCTTATTTCACAACAACATTACTTTTATGCAACCTTAGTTTTTATAACTAATGTACATAGCTATGGTAATGTTAGCTACTAAACTACTGCTAGGTAATCTGTCATTAGTCTAAGTTAATAGTATGCGGCAAAAATTAAGAGCTACCAGAGACACAGTCCTAAATATTAAATACTAAGGAATAAAAAAGGTTTTTAATTACCTTTCAGTTCTACAGCAGTAGCTAGAATGTGGGTTTAATCCCACATATACTGTTAAAATTCAATATGATCCAAGCACTGATCTACTAGGAAAGCAAAAAATAAGGCAAATGGTGTCTAAAGTTAGCAGTTGGTGCCCCACTTCTTCTTTGTCTTTATCCAGGGATAAAATAGAAAGTGCACTCCCAGTGGGCAGCAGTCTGCCACCTACTGGCAGCCAGTTGTTTTTATTTATGCCTATTACACAGAAACTACCACAGGTGTTTCCAGATAATAATTAAATACTTTTTAAGTTTACTTTAATAGGTTATTAATATGTCACTAAATAGAAACAGGCAATTTTGCATTTTGTGGCTCTGTTTCCTGCTTATTAAACAGAAACTACAATTGGCATTTGAGTGGTAATAACTTAGAAATTACTACATTATTATACATTATTACATTATTAGATACATTTATATAATGTCCATCGTGCTTTGACTAAATAAAAGTAATCATTAATTAGTTTCAATTTTATTTATGTAGCACGAAATCACAACAGCCACCTCGAGGCGCTTTATATTGGAAGGTAAATGCTACAAGAGGAAACCACAACAATAAGACCCTCTATGACCAAGCACTTGGCAACAATAGGAAGGAAAAGCTTCCTTTTGACAGGGAGAACCGACGACAGACAGACAGACAGACAGACAGACACATATAGGGAGTGCAGAATTATTAGGCAAGTTGTATTTTTGAGGAATAATTTTATTATTGAACAACAACCATGTTCTCAATCAACCCAAAAAACTCATTAATATCAAAGCTGAATGTTTTTGGAAGTAGTTTTTAGTTTGTTTTTAGTTTTAGCTATTTTAGGGGGATATCTGTGTGTGCAGGTGACTATTACTGTGCACTAATTATTAGGCAACTTAACAAAAAACAAATATATACCCATTTCAATTATTTATTTTTACCAGTGAAACCAATATAACATCTCCACATTCACAAATATACATTTCTGACATTCAAAAACAAAACAAAAACAAATCAGCGACCAATATAGCCACCTTTCTTTGCAAGGACACTCAAAAGCCTGCCATCCATGGATTCTGTCAGTGTTTTGATCTGTTCACCATCAACATTGCGTGCAGCAGCAACCACAGCCTCCCAGACACTGTTCAGAGAGGTGTACTGTTTTCCCTCCTTGTAAATCTCACATTTGATGATGGACCACAGGTTCTCAATGGGGTTCAGATCAGGTGAACAAGGTGGCCATGTCATTAGTTTTTCTTCTTTTATACCCTTTCTTGCCAGCCACGCTGTGGAGTACTTGGACGCGTGTGATGGAGCATTGTCCTGCATGAAAATCATGTTTTTCTTGAAGGATGCAGACTTCTTCCTGTACCACTGCTTGAAGAAGGTGTCTTCCAGAAACTGGCAGTAGGACTGGGAGTTGAGCTTGACTCCATCCTCAACCCGAAAAAGGCCCCACAAGCTCATCTTTGATGATACCAGCCCAAACCAGTACTCCACCTCCACCTTGCTGGCGTCTGAGTCGGACTGGAGCTCTCTGCCCTTTACCAATCCAGCCACGGGCCCATCCATCTGGCCCATCAAGACTCACTCTCATTTCATCAGTCCATAAAACCTTAGAAAAACCAGTCTTGAGATATTTCTTGGCCCAGTCTTGACGTTTCAGCTTGTGTGTCTTGTTCAGTGGTGGTCGTCTTTCAGCCTTTCTTACCTTGGCCATGTCTCTGAGTATTGCACACCTTGTGCTTTTGGGCACTCCAGTGATGTTGCAGCTCTGAAATATGGCCAAACTGGTGGCAAGTGGCATCTTGGCAGCTGCACGCTTGACTTTTCTCAGTTCATGGGCAGTTATTTTGCGCCTTGGTTTTTCCACACGCTTCTTGCGACCCTGTTGACTATTTTGAATGAAACGCTTGATTGTTCGATGATCACGCTTCAGAAGCTTTGCAATTTTGAGACTGCTGCATCCCTCTGCAAGATATCTCACTATTTTTGACTTTTCTGAGCCTGTCAAGTCCTTCTTTTGACCCATTTTGCCAAAGGAAAGGACGTTGCCTAATAATTATGCACACCTGATATAGGGTGTTGATGTCATTAGACCACACCCCTTCTCATTACAGAGATGCACATCACCTAATATGCTTAATTGGTAGTAGGCTTTCGAGCCTATACAGCTTGGAGTAAGACAACATGCATGAAGAGGATGTGGACAAAATACTCATTTGCCTAATAATTCTGCACTCCCTGTATATATAGTGACTGATCCACACCACCAGGATCTACAGCAAGGACACTGGAATGTCGTATAGTAACAAAGGGAGGGAAGGTAGTTAGAACTGAGGTGATTGAACTACCAGAAGGGAACAGACATTGGGGACCGCTACAACTACCTGGGAATCCCCCACAGGCAAATGGAAACCATGAAGAGGCTGCTAGAAAAGCTGCAACCACCAAATACCTGCAGAGGGTCAGATAAGTCCTGAGGAGTCAGTTGAATGGCAAGAACAAAATCTACTGAGATCTACTGACTTCCGGCTTGAGTGAACGCTGGCGCGTCTGGCTGCCGCTACTCACCGGTTCATTTTTTGATTATTTGGATTTATTTGGATTAATTGGATTATTTGGATTCAGATTTGAATGAACAGGGACATTCACACTCAGCACCAGATCGATCTCTGCCAGGGATTGAATTGCAACTCTTGTCCTCAACTTCTGTTATTTCAGCTGAATGTGTTCTCACGTCTTCTTCTCAGTGAGCGGCACTAGCTTAACTGTTTGAGCTATTTTAGCCTACCTGTTCGTTGCTCCGGCCGGCTCGGCTCCTTTTCCTCCACACAATCGAAGATGCGGACCAAGATGTTCCTGAGCTGGTCGGCACTATTTTGGATTCTCCTGACGCTCGTCTACCATCCTACGGCTGGACTGCTCCGCTATACAGCCGCTGAGCTCCTGTGCCTTCGTGGGCAGCTATCGCTCCCGTCGCCGGCGGAGCTCCACTACCACCCGGGCATCACTTTCCAGCCTCGCCGGAGATACATCCATCGCGGGTCCCGCAGGATTTTCCATAACTCCAATGGAACTAAATCGTTCTGGTCTGCTACTCGCTGCCCTCGCAGGAACCCTGATCGGGCTGTCAACCATCGATCTCTAGCCCACCTGCCTAGGGCGCCCACCGCGATTAGCAAAAAAGAAGATACTCCACTCAACTTCGGTCTTCAAAACATTCATTCATTGACAAGTAAGGGACCTCTCATCCAAGACCTCCTATCTGACCGTAAGTTTGACTTTTTCTGCTTAACTGAAACCTGGCAACAACCTGATGACTTTTCTCAGCTAAACGAATCTGCTCCTCTGGGGTTTGTTTACTTTTCTAAACCCCGCTGCTCAGGTCGTGGGGGTGGTCTCGCGATCCTTTTTCGCCAGCACTTGAAAGTCCTGCCAGTTAATGTTGATACCTTTAGTTCTCTAGAGGTCCTTGCATGTGAGCTGACTGGACCCATTCCCACTATCATAGCTACTGTATACCGCCCCCCCAAACCTAACCCTGTCTTCCTCAGTGACTTTGCTAATCTACTAACCCATCTTTCATCTCTCTCCCCAAATGTGATCTTGGTGGGAGATTTCAACATTCACATGGACAATAATGACCTTCTGCTCACCAGAGACTTTTCCTCCTGTCTCGAAGGCTCTGAATTTAAACAATTTATCGACTTTCCCACTCACTCTAAAGGACACACCCTGGACTTGGTCTGCTGTTCTGGTCTTACTCCCTCGAATCTTTCTGCTACTGAAATCCCCATAACTGACCACTTCCTCCTTTCATTTAACCTCACTCTCTGCTGCTCTTCTACCAAGCCAACCCGTCTCATCTCGTTCCGCAACATCAAGAACATTGATATGGACATTCTCACTACCAGTTTGGACAATGTTCAGATTCCGGACTTCTATTCTACTCCTGATGATTTGTTGTTATATTATAATAATTGTCTACGCACTGTCCTTGATTCTCTGGCTCCTGTAAAAACCCACTCTGTTTCCTTCGCTCGCTCTGCTCCCTGGTTTACCTCTGACCTCCGAGCTCTGAAGGCCAAAGCTCGGCAGCTAGAGCGTAAATATAAGAAATCTGGTTTAACTGTTGATTCAGAAATCTATAAATACCACGTACTTCAGTATAAAGACTCCATTAACAAGGCCAAACAAAGCTTCTACTCTGGTATTATCAGTTCTTATGAGGGTAATGCAAGGACTCTGTTTTCAGTTTTCAACAAACTAATTCAACCCCCCAACGCTTTACCACCGCACTTCTATTCCTCTGAAACATGCAACTCCTTGATGCTGTTCTGGACTACGAAAATCAATAACATCCACCAGCAACTCAGATCAAATGTTGTGTCTACGCCCTCTCCAGAACCTTTTCTCCTTTTTGAGCCGTTTTCCACTTTTCATCTTCCTGATTTATCTGATATTTCCGAGTTAATATGTAAATCAAAGCCTGCCACATGTCATCTTGACCCCATGCCCACGGGGCTTGTGAAATCCTGCCTCTCTTCTTTACTCCCACTCATTTCTGCTATCATTCACTCTTCTCTCACCACCGGTATCGTTCCCTCCTTATTGAAGACTGCTCTAGTCACTCCTATACTGAAAAAACCTTCTTTAGATCCTAACAACTTTAACAACCTCCGTCCGATTTCCAATCTACCCTTCATTTCTAAGATACTCGAAAAAGTGGTTGCAGCTCAACTTCATTTACACCTGGTTAATAATAACATCTACGAGAGATTTCAATCTGGTTTTCGCTCATGTCACAGTACCGAAACTGCTCTACTTAAAGTCACTAACGATCTTCTAATCGGAGCTGACTCTGGTCTTCTCACCATTCTCGTCCTTTTAGATCTGAGCTCAGCCTTTGACACCATTTCTCACTCTGTCCTTCTAAGCAGACTTTCCTCTCTCGGCATCTCTGACACACCCCTCGCCTGGTTTCAATCATATCTCCTCGACCGCTCCCAGTTTATTCAACTAAGATCATTCCGCTCTCGTCTATTCCCCGTCACCTCTGGTGTACCCCAAGGCTCAGTTTTAGGCCCTCTTCTCTTTATAATATACATCAGTAGTAATACGATGGCACCTATCCAAGATGGCGGCCAACCAAACCGGTTTGACAACCGGTTGACAACCGGATG